TGGGGAAAGGCCCACAGAGCTCCTCAAAAGGCCATTCTGAAAGTCACTCCTCAATACTTTGCAGTTTTAAAGTTTTATTTTTAATTGAAAAATAATGATTGTATATTCATAGAGTATAGTGTGAGTTTTGACATATGTTTACAGTGTGGAATCATTAAATTAAGCTGATTAACATATCATCATTCACACACTATGCTTTTTGGTGATGAAACTTTTAAAATCTATTTTTTTAGTAATTCTGAAAAATATAATGCACTATTATTTATTTATTTATTAGAGAGAGAGAGAGAGAGAGAGAGAGAGAGAGAGAGAGAGAGAATTTTTTTAATATTTATTTTTCAGTTTTTGGCGGACACAACATCCTTGTTTGTATGTGGTGCTGAGGATCAAACCCGGGCTGCACGTATGCCAGACAAGCTCGCTACTGCTTGAATCTCATCCCCATCCCTGCACTATTATTTATTATGGCCAGATGCTATTGGCCACTAAAGTTTATTCCTTTTTATCCTTTGATCAATATTTCTCCTTTCGCAATCTGTCATGAGCTGTCTGTGGGCTGTGTGTGGACTATGTTGCACATCATAGCCTAGTGAGGGGCAAAGTCTGGCATTGGGAACCTTTCATAGCACCCCCACAGGGATTGACCCCTGATGCAGGTGAGCTTCCCCCTCAAGCTCTGCCAAAGATCCCACACAGCACCTGAGATGGGTGTGACCTGGGAAGATGCCCATCAACCTGCTGATTCCTAGACATCAGGAGGCAAGACTCTGGCCTTGAAACCTTACCCTTGCCTTTGATGTACCCCCTTAAATAGACCACCAGAGCCATCTTTTCTTTGTCTAGTTCCAGCATGCATGTGGACTAGATCTATCAGGGGCTTTACTTTTGTAAATACATTTCTGGCCATTTGTGTTTTGTGTTTCACTAATTATTTGAGTCTTTAAGTTTTAGGGTGGCTTACATCCTCCTGGGCAGGAAAAAGAACCCCAAATGAGATGCTGACCATTGCCCCCACTACCAATCCATCCTCCATCCAAGCTCCTAGTAATCATCAACCTACTCTCTAATTTTATGAGTTCAAATTTTTTAGATGTTCCATGTAAGTGAGATCAAGCAGCATTTGTCGTTTTTTTACCTGGCTTGTTTTTACTTAGTATAATGTCCTTTAGGTTTATCCATGAAGTCACAAATGATCCAATTTCCTCCTTTTTAAGGCTGAGTAGCATCCTATTATGTGTGTATGTCTAATGCATTTTCTTTATCCATTTGTTTGATGTTGTGCACTTATGTTGCTTCCATATCTTAGCTGTTTTAAATGAGTTGCAATAAACAAGAAAGCACGAATATCTTTTAACTAATGATTTTAATTCCTTTGAATATATACCCAGAAGTGAAATTAGTAGATCGTGTGGTCATTCTGAAGAACTGCCATCCTATTTTCCGTAAAGGCTGTATTAATTTATGTTCCTATCAATAGAGCCTAGGTTTCCCTTTTCTACACACCACCCTCACCAACACTTGTTATCTTTTGTCTTTTGGATGATAGCCTTTCTAAAAGCCATGAGATGATTGCTCATTGTGGTTTTCATTTGCATTTCCACAATGATAAGTGATGATGAGCATGTTTATTTGCATTTTGAAGAGATTCCCAAGCTATCAAAATGGGCCACTGTTTACTGGATTAAATATCCCCTTGGTACTCATTAGGAAAAAAAGGAAAAAAAAAAAAAACCATTCTGTCCTGACTTTCAGAAAATGTACTGCCACCTGCCAGAAAATTGTCATAATAAATATATAATCTAGAAAGACAAATAGTGTAAACCATAGCTCTTGATGTTCTTTATGCACTTAATAATCTGTACCTAATGTCCCTGCATAGACCTCTAAGAATGATGTTTTATTAGTAGAACAACCAAATAAGGCAGCAACAGTGCCCTTCTAGTCTTTAAACTCTCCCACTGGACAGGCATGTACTCTGTCATTAAGAGGCCGTCTTGTTTATTGTGCACATTTAACATATTGGGGAACCTGGATTTACCAAAGCGATGGCAATAATTCATTGCGCTTGTGACCCCATATTTGCCTCACATATTCCATGAGTGTCATAATTCACTGATTGCTAGTTTTCATAGGTAGATAGAAAACACATCTCACACAAGGGATGTGTACATTAGGCAAAATGAGTAAATAAAAATGTGTTTCTTTTACCAGCAGGAGAGCCACATCTAGTCTTGTCAGTCATACTTTTGCATTTCATTTGTCCTAATCAAACACCCACATCCACATGTTACTCTGGTTTTGTCACATGATCAGCTTGTAGATGGTTTGCTAATGTTCAGCATTTAGTAAAGAAATGCAAGACTCTTGAGCTTAACGTGACCATAAAAATGTTTGTGGCTTTATTTGTATGACTTTTAGATGCTTTCTTATGAACTTTTCTCAGTCACTATGATGTCTCTTCCCTTGTGTGGAAATGAACTGATGAATCAGTTCTGAATATATGACAGGAGGAGATACAAAAATACGGCAGAAAAAGCAACACAATCCACAGACATCTTTGCTCTCGCCTTTTATTTTACTTTTGATCATGCCTCATTTCCTTCTTGTCCTCCCTCATCATTAACCAGAACCATTATCTCACAGTCCTGCAGCTTTTTGGCTGCTGTCAGATCGCTGCCTTTTTCTCCTGAGAGAAATTAGCAGTCCGCATGATTGATAATGCTGGAGCGTGCCTTGGAGTGAGAAAGGAGTTAAGTATGTGCCATTAATTTTCCTCGGGGATAGTTACTGGGAATCTGGAATACCACCTGGGGAGAGGTAGATCAGTGAGGATGTGAAATCTTGAATCTAAGACTATCTATTTCTTGATTGTCATGTAGATAACTCTTCAGGTAAATTTGGCATGATACATCGCCTTAAAAATGGCTGAGACAATGTCTAGTGTAAATCCTGTGAGTTACTTCTATTTGATTTTAAGCCCAATTTACTGAAGTATAATTTGATTATAGTAAAATTTATCCTTTTTTCTTTAAGTGTACAATTTGTCAAGTTCACAGTATATACAGTTATGAAATCGCCCTAATAATTATGATATAGTACATTTCTGTCACCTCCAAATGTTTAAAGTGCCCCCTTTTGCTCAATACCCTTTATTTCTCCCTCTGACCTCTGATAACCACTCATCTGATTTTATCTCTAGTTTTACATTTTTTCTGAAGTTTTCCATGTAACTGGATTATACACTACGTAATCTTTTGTGTCTAACTTTTGCATTTAGCTTAGTTCCTTCGAGATTAATTTATGTCATTGCACATGTGAAGTAGTCACTATTGCTGAGTAGTGTTCAAGGGTAACATAGACCACAATTTGTTTATATATTCCAAGTTTTGGGAAATTATGGGTAAAGATGATATAAACTTCAATGCACAGGACTTTGTGGATGTATATTTTTATTTATCTTGTACAAATATTTAGGAGAGATATTACTGAGTTGTATGGGAGTGTGTACTTAATGTCATTAGAGCCTGCCACAGTGTTTTTCAAAGTAGCTATGCCATTTTGTATTCCCACCAGTAATCCACGAGAGTTGCAATTGCCAACACCCTTATGAGCACCGGCTACTTCCAGTTTTTTTCTTTGTGATTTTGCCCTTCTAATAGGTATACAGTGATATCTCATGATTTTATTTTGAATTTCTTTGATGACAAATTATGTTAACCATTTTCTCATATGTTTATTTGCTGTTTTATCTCAACTTTGTTGGAGTGTTTGTTCCAACCTCAGAATTTTTTCCAAACTTTAAAAAAATAATCATAATTGAAAATCAGTGCTTGCTACTCATCTGACAGAGCATTAATATCGAGAATATATAAAGAACTCAAAAAACTTAATACCAATAAACCAAATAAGCCAATTAAGAAATGGGCAAATGAATTAAACACATTCTTCTCAAAAGAAGAACTAAAAATGTCCAATAAATATATGAAAAAAAGTCCAACATCACTAGCAATTAGGAAAACACAAATCAAAACTATACTAAGATTTCATGTTACACCAGTCAGAATGACAGTCATCAAGAATACAAACAATATTAAATATTGTTTAAATGGATAGGATGTAGAGAAAAAGGACCATTTTTACACTATTGGTGAGATTCTAAGTTAGCACAACCAGTTTGGAAATCATTGTGGAGAATCCTTAAAAGACTAGGCATGAAACCACCATATGACCCAGCTATAACACTTCTAAGTATTTATCTTAAAGAATTGAAGTCTGCATACTATAGTGACACAGGCATACCCGTGTTTATAAAAGCACAATTCACAATCACCAAACCAATGGAACCAGACTAGGTGTCTATCCACAGATAAATAGATTTTAAAACAATGTAGTATATATACACAATGGAGTTTTATTTAGCCATAAAGAAAAATGAAATTTTGTCTCAGGAAAATATATGGAACTTGAAACCATTGTGTTAAGCCAATCTCAGAAGGTCAAGTGCGCTGTTTTCTCTTGTTCGTGGAAGCTAGAGAGGAATAAGGAAAAGAAATGAGCATGGGATAGTGGGTGGGGATCTAATAAAAATCAAAGGGAGATGAGTAGAGGAAAAGGATCAGGGAGTGGGAGGACAGAGAGAAGTGTTGAGGAGTCATATGGCCAAAATTATATTGTGTGGGGCTGGGATTGTGGCTCAGTGGTAGAATGCTCGCCTAGCATGGGCGGGACCTGGGTTGAATCAGCAGCGCCATGTAAAAATAAAGGCATTGTGCTGTGTCCATCTACACCTAAAAAATAAATTTAAAAAGATTTTAAAAATTATATTGTGTGCGTGTATGAATATATAACAACAAATCTCATGATTATGTACAACTATAATACGCCAATAAAAATATGGAAAGAAAAAACAAAAAAAGTAAGAAAAACAAATGAGCAAACAAACAAACAAACAAAAAGAAAACATCATAGAAAGATGTGATACCTCATAGTATTCTAATTTTTTTCAGATAAAAAGTACTTCTCTCAGACTGGAGAAAAATCTTAGCCTGGATTGTTTAATTAAACCCCATTGACAACTTACGGGCTAAGAAACTAAAATTCCAGGTAGGAGCCACGTCTTTAAATACTTTGGTCACTTCCTCTCAAGTTGCAGATGAAACTGACTCTAGTTAGTGTGATGATTTATGAAACTATTTATTTCAATGGAATGAAATAATTACCTCAAAACTATCATTCACATCTATTAAAGGAATACCTTTAATGTGTTTAATTTAATATAAATACAATACTAGTGAATATCTTGCCTCAGGTTCTTTGTATCTTCTGCTTGTATTCCTCCCCAAGAATAGGGATGATTATAAAATTTTGTATTCTAATACAGAGTTAAAGTTTTATATTCTAAAACAAAATCATAGTGAAAACCTCTAAGTTGAGAACTATAATTATATTACAATAAAATTTGTAAGTAGAATTATATAACAGTAAATATATTTTAAATAGAATTACTATAATGGGTATTTACTAATATTGTTAGATATAATTGAATTAAAAGTGTTATTGAGTTTTAAGAGTATTTTAAAATATGTATATTTTGGATAAAATTTCTTTATCAGCTGTTTTGAAAATATTTCTCTCAGTCTGTGACTTATTCTTTCATTTTCTTATCAGTATTCTTTAAAGATCAGAGATGTTTAATATTAAGTGAAATTTATCAAGTTTTTCTTTAATGATGCTTGTTATTCTAAGAAGTTTTCTTTAACTCAATATCATATTTTTTCTCTTATGTTTACTTATAAAGGGAATGTAATTTTACATTTAAGTCTATGATTCATTTTGAATTGATTTGTGCTTATGGTGTTTCATGCAGGTTGAGCATTTTAAGAAATATTTGTATGTGGATGTTTGTATACAAAAAAAAATTTGTTGAAAACTGTTCTTTTCCCATTAATTTACTGTGACATGTTTGTTGAAAATCAATTTACCATGTGTATGTATAAAAGCATATCTGGATAAATTTTTGAACTCTATCTCTCATACTTTACATAAATAGTACCTTCATCATTACAGCTTTACTGTTTAAAGATATGAATTTCAAGTTTTCTATCCTATTTTTCTTTTCAAAATTGTTTTTACCATATCAATTTAGAGTGAGCTTATCAATTTCTACGAAAAATAAATAAAAAGAAAAATATCTTAAGATTTTAAAAATGTGTCAAATATATCAGTTTAGGGAGAGAATTAATATATTTTCTATAAATGTGTCCATCACTAGTTGTTTTTATTAATATTAAATGTTGGTAATTGAGATTATTTTTTATTTGTTCTTTTTAGTTACACGATAGTAGAATCAACTTTGACATTTTTGTGTAAACATGGAATATATCTTATTTTAATTAGGATTTCAGTCTTGTGGATGTTCATTATGTTGAAATTCACTGTGATGTATTCATATATATACACACAGAGGAAAGTTATGTCAGATTCATTCTACTGTCTTTGTATTCCTATCCCCCTCCCTTCTCTTCACTCCCCTTTGTCTAATCCAATGAACATATACTCTTTACACCACCAGTTGTTGTGTGTTAGAATTCACATGTCAGAGCAATGATTGGTTTTAGAGGATTGACTTATTTTGCTTAACATGATAGTCTCCAGTTCCATCCATTTACCAGCAAATGCCATGATTTTACTCTTTTTTGTGGCTGAGTAATATTCCATTGTGTATATGTACCACATTTTCTTTATCCATTCATTTGTTGAAGGGTACTTACGTTGGTTCCATAGTTTAGCTATTGTGAATTGAAGTGCTATAAATATTGATGTGGCTGTGTCACTGTAGTATACTGAGAAGTGGTATATCCAGTATAAATGGTGGTTCCATTCCAAGTGTTTTGAGGAATCTCCATACTGCTTTCCACATTAGTTGCACCAATTTTGCAGTCTCACCAAAATGTATGAGAGTACATTTCTCCCCACATCCTTGCCAACATTTACTGTTACTTGTGTTCTTGATAGTTGTCATTCTTACTGGAGTTAGGTAAAAATCTCAGTGTAATTTTAATTTGAATTTTTCAAATTGCTAGATGCTGAACATTTTTTTATGTATTTGTTGACCATTCAATTTACTTTTGAGAAGTATTTAATTCCTTTGTCAATTTATTGATTCGGTTATTTGGTTTTATTGTTGTTAAGAAGTTTTTTGAGTTCTATGTATATTCTGGTAATATCTGAGGTGCAGGTGGCAAAGATTTTCTTTCATTCTATAAGCTCTCTCTTTACGTTCTTGATTGTTTCCCTTGCTATAAAGAGGCTTTTTAGTTTGATAGTATCCCATTTGTTGATTTTTTATTTTATTTCTTGCACTTTAGGATTCTCATTTAGGAAGTTCTAAGCTGACATGTTAGAATGTTGATCCTACCTTTTCTTCTAGTAGATAAAGGATTTCTGTCCTAATACCTAGGTCTTTGATTCACTTTGAGTTGAGTTTTGTGCAGGGTGGGAGATGGGGGTTCAATTTCATTCTACTACATATGGATTTACAGTTTTTATAATGTTAAGGTATATTCCTAATATCCCTTATTTTTCTAGTGTTTTGAACATTAATGGATGCTGTATTTTGTCAAGTGTTTCTATGTACATAATATAACTTCCATTTAGTTAGGTTTTATTAATTATAGTTTTAAGCATATAGAATTTAAAATTATTTTGTTAGATAATATCTATGAATTTTTGGTTTCATTGTCTTATTGTAAAAGACATTGTTTTTAAATTTCTAGTTTCACATTAGAAATATATGGAAAATATCTTATTTTTGCATATTGGTATTCATAATGTCTTGTTAAACTCATTCATTAGCTTTTTTTGTAGATTATTTGGAAGTTTGTATTTAGATTATGTTTTCTGTGGCTAAAATGTGTTTTATTTTTTCTTTTCCAATTTTTATGCCTTCTTTTGTTGAATTACTGCAGTGGATTAAGCTCTCTACTATAATGTCAAGTAAAAGTGGTAAAAGTAGAGACACTTGGCTCTCTTTCTTTTAAAAATAAATTCATTCAATTAAAAGTAATAAAGCATATTAGAGTGGAATCAGAAACCTTAAGTTCCCATTCCATATCTATTATTAACTAATTGTGCATAATTCAACACACTTTTTTCCTTTTATTTTATTGCTGTGATTATCTTAAAACATGCAGAGCATTTCATACTAAATAAGAATGGCATATTTATAGTATGAAATAGAGTATCAGATTTCACCATAGTGATTTATATTATGTAATGAAATAAAAAAGGCCTAAGACCTGGTTAAGCTTATAACACACACACAGACACACAGACACACACACACACACACACACACACATGTTATATATAATTAATGTATATTATATATACTTTTCTGTTTTATATTTTCTTGCATTTGACCATTTAAAAATATTTTCAACCACAAATATCTATCATCCTAAGAAGATATGGATTATAATACTTAGGAAGGCAGAAATAGTCAATTTCAACCTTTGCCTGCCAAAATAGGGTTTTGTAGAATTAGTTCAGCTGCAGTTCTGACAGCAATACTGTGTTAATTTTTTTTTCCTAAAATTTAAATGCTCTAAAAAAAAAAAGGAAAGAAAAGAAAAGGAGAATGGAAAGATTTTTTTCCTGGTCCCTCAGGAAAGCAGCAGCCATCACTGCCAGATTTCCCTGGATCTTGCTTTAGGTATGAAGAGTGAGAATAAAAGAACTGTAAGTGGGTATTTATGAAACTTGGGAGAATAACACCCAGGAAGTCCCTACTCTATCCTCTGGTACAGAGAAGCTGCAGGTGAAGGAAAATGTGTCCTGATAGGTTTAGATGAAAGTGGGTCTGAGACTGTGTTCCTGAGAAAGATCTCAGCTCTCAAGTGGCATGCATGTTCCACAAATTCTCCTTTAGGTTACAGAAGATTAGTGAGAATAGAATTTGGCTAATAGCTGTAGAATGGACCTACAGAGCTAAGTTGAGGCTACCTGTCAGGAAAACTGCCTTGTTTTACAGAGAAAGGGAAAATGGGTCTGATACCTTTGGATTTTCCTGCTTTGCTCAGGCTGAAGAAGGAATTTGTGACTTTTATCAATCGTGGACATTCAGCATTAGAGTCAATTAACAGGTACCCAGAGGCAAAGAGGACATGACATTCATTTAATGGACAGCATTTAAAGCTCCGATTAGCCAATGCCATGAGAACCTTAGCTTTTCCTTGTACCCAAAGCACTATTTTGGAGAAGGCAGGAATGGGGATACCTTAAGAAGGAAGAGACATCCTGGGAGGAACATTAGATTTTGTCCCTGTTCCATATTTATCCAAGACAAATTTCTTTTGTGCACATGGTCATGTGGCGGCTAACCCTCTCAGAGGGTTACTAAGATGTCACTAAGCTGAATTCTTGACTATTTTGCAAATATGAATCCTTTGCCCCACCTCTTACCTCAACCCTGTCAAATTTGATGTCAGAGACCCTGGGAAATATAACCCCAGTGAAAAAATATTTTGTGTTTACCATGAAGAATCACTTACAGTCTGCATTTTTAAATACTAATACATTTTTCTTAATCAAAAAGTAATCCATATGTTATTCTAAAAGTAGTCACACAAGGGGATTTGTATGGTTTTAAGTTGTGTAATTAACCTGAGATGGTCTACTTGCCCATGTGGATGTCAGTTAAAAATCAAATACTCTCCTGTTTTGGATAATGTTCTTTAATGAGTGTATTGTGAGTTCAGAATAATGCAGGGTTGTTTTCTCTTGATGGCAAAAGGCTTCTTGCTTCCTCAGATGCTCAAAATCCATGCCATATGAGTGGGTCTGAATTAAGACCTTCTGTACCTAGGGATTGAGAGTTGTCATCTGACTTTCATGATTTCCTTAATTTTAGTTCCAATAATTCACAAGAAATTCATGTGCATGCAGGCAAGAGTAACCCAAATATTTTATTTCTTCTTAGACTCAAGAGTAATACATGAATCAGACAGATTTAGAATTAAGGAAGAGTTTTTTGCCTTTTGCCAATCAAACACTTATAGCAATAATTCTCAAACTGTCATTTCTAGACCAGTTTCATCTGGGAA